AGGACAGTCACTGTCCATTAACACATACGAAACTGTCTGAATCTATATCAAAATAAATCTCGCAGATTGATTTATATATTTAACTACACTGGGAAAAAAACAAATGGTGCTCTGAATGGACTCAATTTAAACATCATTGTTTCTACACCAGTAACATCTATTTCACCAACCAGCAGTATTTAAATAAATTGCAACACAATTCTATCACTTTGTACAAAAAGAAGGAAACTAAGAAACAGAACTGTGTAGATGTGATAGATTTTATTGATGTGGAAATGATGAACATATTCAGATCATGTAAATGAAAAGACTGACTGTGTTTAAGTTTAAACACAGTGTTCTGTTTACCAGTTAACAGTGACAGAGATTGACAGCTTTCTTTAAAAATCTTCATTAAATTTACCGGAGCTAACATGTTCCTTTATTTTCCTTCTGTTTATCACATCAGCACAGTAAACATTTCCCAAAGAATGTGTGCAGGACTGGAGCTGGAGCCCTAAAGACCATCCTAGAAATGGTCCTGTAGTATGAAGGTACATGCAGCAAACTGATAAGAGAACTGTTGTCACAGAGTGTGCAGTGTTCAATTACACTGAATGGAAGTGTAAATAATGTAATAATGTACTGTAAGTGGGGGTGAATGGGGGGTGTTGTGTCAGTGTGAGGGTGAAACAGCCCACATAAACACACTGCACTGCATTTCTGACACAAACGCTACTGTGATGTTGGACAGAGTGAGCAGGTCACAACCCAAATGAACAGAAAAGAGGATCTGACTGAATTTCAGGTGGAAAGCAGAGCTGACCAATCACATTACACACAATGAAAGACCCTTTTATTCAAGAAAAGTGACCTGTAGAAGAAGACGAAGGCCTTCACAAAAAGCAGATCAGCAGCTCAGTAGATTTTCTGAAACTCAACTGTGACCTCATGTGGCTGCGCCTGGAATCTTGCTTATAGTAGTAAAGAGAAATACACACATTCACTGAGGTAAATAACCACCAGCATTATTAAGTTAGTGTATAAAGCATTAATTATGAATAATCTCCTTTATTTACATTCATTAGGTTCCAGTCAGTGTATCATCTTTATGAAGGATTCTTATCCTTTTATACTTTAAAATTATTTAATTGAAGTTGTAGTTTAATTCAATTTAAAATGTTTTATCTATTTTTCTTACTTTATGAAAACAGGCTTCCATATATACATTTAAATAATAGCTTCTAAGAATATTTTAGTGCAGATTTAAAAACAAATAATAACCTATTACATTACATTCAAACTTCCGGCGCCGCGCGAGTGGCAGCCTGTTACAGCAGCTCTTGCTCACCGTGAGCTTTTTTCTCTTATTTTCCTTTCTTTTATAGTACTTTGTAAACCTGAGTACTTTTCACACTGTCCGTACACCATGGACATTAAACTTGTGAAGTTTGCGCTTCTTTTTATGTTGTTTTTCTCGCGCATTTCACACGTGAGAGCGGATCCAGCGTGCTCCCGGCGGGATCTCTTTGTTTACACCAGGGATCAGCTGAGGGGGACCCCAGATCTCCTCAGCGCCGTGCGAGGAGAAGACGCTACAAACCAGTCCTTCCCTCTGTCATCATGGGGAACGTGAGATCTCTTCCAAATAAGATGGATGAGTTAGCGGCGCTGACCCGGCACGAGAGGGAATTCCGTGAGTGTAGCGTCATGCTGTTTACGGAGACCTGGCTAACTACGCTAACTCCGGATACACTCGTCTCTCTGGATGGCTTTCACCTCGTACGGGCGGACAGGACAGCGGAGAGCGGTAAGAGGAAAGGAGGAGGACTGGCAGTATTAGTGAATGATAGATGGTGTAATTCTGGACACATCTCTATTAAAGAGCAAATCTGCTGTAAGGACATTGAACTGTTAGCCGTTAGCATGAGGCCATACTATTTGCCACGGGAATTCTCGCATGCTATCGCGATAGCTGCGTACGTTCCTCCGTCTGCTAATGCTGATGCTGCCTGTGACGTCCTGCACTCAGCTGTGAGCAGGATTCTGACCCAGCACCCACAGGCCCTCCTCCTGATCTCTGGGGACTTTAACCATTCTTCTCCATCCTCAACACTGTCTACCTTCACCCAGTATGTCACCTACCACACCAGAGACAATAAAATACTGGACTTGTTTTATGCCAATACAAAGGAGGCATATAACTCCCTACCCCTCCCTCCCCTGGGAAGATCAGATCACAACCTGGTTCATCTCCTGCCTGTGTACAAACCACTTGTACACAGAGAACCAACCATCACCCGCACAGTGAAGAAATGGTCTGCAGAGTCTGAAGAGGCTTTGAAAGACTGTTTCAGCACAACACTGTGGGAGGAGATGTGTGATCCTTATGCATAATGAAAGGTTCTTCCCCAAACTGTTCACACAAAGTTGGAAGCGTACAATTGTCCAAAATGTCTTGTTCTGCTGAAGCATTAAGATTGTTAAAGCCAGATGAGGTTTGGAAGTCATTTAACGCAGTTATTGAGTAGCAGAGTGTTGGCAACTTTTATGCACTATGCACCTCAGCACTCTGTGACCCTGCTCTGCAACTTTACCTTATATCTCCAATTTTTAATAATACCATTCACAAGTTGATAGTGGAATATCTAGAAGGAAAGGAATTTAGCAAACTGACAACAATGAAGTGTAGTAATGGCATCCTACTACAGTACCACACTCGAATTCAGTGAGCTCTTCAGACTGACCTATTTTTCCACAGTTGTGTGTAAAGGCAGACTGCATGGCTAGATGCTTGATTTTATACACAACACTGAATAAAACACCTGAATTCAATGATTGAGAGGTGTGTCCAAATACTTTTAGCCATATTGTGTAATACACTGTTTCTGTGTGTGTGTGTGTGTGTGTGTGTGGAGACAGTAAATCAGTAACTCATTGTAGTTTTTCCAGTTTACAGTGTGGATCCAGTAGATCCAGTAGATCAGAAAGCTCCTTTACTCCTGACTCTCCTGGTTTATTGGAGTTCAGGTTCAGTTGTCTCAGGTGAGAGGAGGGGTTTGATTTTAGAGCAGCACAGCCTTTATCTGTAATACTGCAGATACATGACCTGATTTAGATTTACAAACATAAACCTCTCACACCTCGTTACTTCTGATTTAGATTCACAGACATTGACCATCAAACACATAAACCTCTCACACCTCATTATTTCCATTTTACATTTATCACTGAATCACAGCTTATTTTGGATTAAACAGATATAATTATTTAAAATATATGACTACACACACAACAAACAGTATTTCTTGGACATTTTTAATGACAGACTACAAGACTGCTTTATTTTTCAGTAGCTTCAAATACAAAACATTCTCAGCAGGAAATGTTACGTAATAATTTGTTATATGAAATATACAAAACAAATGAAACATTTCTTTAGAGATAAAGATAAAACATTATGAAAATTAGAAATGTGTTTTGTCGCTAGCCAAAATCAAATTCATGTAAAGTGATATACACAATTGTGTGGTTACATTAAAAGTACATTATGAAATGTGATATTATTCCATTCAGTTTTTAAAACTGCTTAACGTAACTAACTCATATGTATGTTTACTTTAATGAGCTCTGCTGGTGTTTTCATTTTTATAGACCATTACAATATGGACTGCTGATGAAGTCCATTGTTTTTTTTTTAGCCAAAATGCAACATTATGAAAGTAATCTCTAAACAACTAAACCTGAATATGAATTATTATACATATAAATATTATACATGAATATGTATAAAAACACCATGACGTCCAGTGCTCCTCCCTCCTGTACACACTCTCATCACCAATGTGGGGTTGTCCACTAATACGAGAAGTTTGATGGATGGGTTGCTAGACATGCAGTTACTAGCATACAGAAAGTGATGTCATAGGGAGATCACACAGTCCTGTGCTGCAGCCATGTCCACAGATTTGACCAATAAGAACCCAAACACAGAACACTGTAGAACCATATACTGAGTGTCTATGTGTTTGTATGACTCAGTCTAGAGTCAGGCTGCATCAAGTCAAAACAAAGCAGTCAAAAGGCCAAACAGTCAGAGAATAATCAATCAGGCAAACAAATGAGCAACAGGAAACAAGTGAGCAAAAAGCTGTTGGTGGAGTCGAGGAGCCTTATTTGTTCTTCCTGCCTGATGAAGTCATAACCAGAAAATAACTGGAGTATGGACTGGAGCGTTTGGTGATGAACTGAAAACACGGACTGGATCATGGAATGAGGCTACAACTGGGAAGACAGAACAGAGGCACAGGCAAAAAAGAAACAAATTATGGAGCAAAGCGTAATACTAAGACTTCATCTTCTTCTCATAACCCTCTGTGTGTGACAGCAGATCAGCTGGGTGGTGTTGTGATGCTGTAAGAGAAGAGGAGAGAAACATCAGACATGAACTCATACTTACGGGTTATTCAATACCAACACACCAAGGGCCTGTCCAGTCATCTCATGGATTTCCATGAAAAAATCAACAAAAACTACAATTTAACTCATGAAACAATGCAAAATTTCCAAGCAGCACCACAGTTAGTTTGAATATGAACTGAGGAGTTCTGAATATGAAAATGAATATTTTCCTTTTTAGATCCCATTAAATACTGAATTTATTGCTTTACAGAATGACTGAACTGAGTTGAAATATTAACTGAATATGAATCCAACACTAGAAATAATATTTCACCTCAAACAAAGTAGTTTAATATTAGTTTATTTAGATGACTGGATCACTTATTAGAGTATTTTCATTTTTTATGTCAGATGTTTGTGTTTATTTTCTTATGTCTGAAATGTAAATTTTCCATTAGTGTTTATAACTATAAACACACACACAATATAAATAAAAATACTTGTTCACTCATACACACCTCTAGCTTCTTTCACATACAACACACTGTCTGTGTGTGTGTCTGTGTGTGTGTGTGTGTGTGTGTGTGTTTGTGTGTAGAGACAGTACGTCAGTAACTCACAGTAGTGTCTCCAGTTTACAGTGTGGATCCTCCAGTAGATCAGAGAGCTCCTTCACTCCTGACTCTCCTGGCCTACTGGAGTCCAGGCGCAGCTCTCTCAGGTTAGATGAGGGGTTTGATTTTAGAGCTGAAGCCAGAGCAGCAAAACTTTGTCCTGTAATACTGCAGTCAGACAGCCTGCAGAGAGAAGAAGAAAAACTCCTCAGACTTACAGAAAAACACACACAACTTATATACATACACACAAATAGTGATAAAGTGATGATCTTACACCAGTTTCTCCAGTTTACAGTGAGGATTCTCCCAGAAGAGAGCAGCAGAGACTAGAGAGCAGCTCTACTCCTGAATCCTGTAGTTTAATCTTGCTCAGCTTGAGTTCTCTCAGACTTGATGAGTTTGAGCTGAGAGCTGAGAACAGAGCTGCACAGCTTTTCTCTGTGAGATTACACTCACGCAGCCTAACAGAGAAATGATGATACATCAGGACACTATCACACACACACAGACATATTAAAACATACAATAACACAGTCGCACACATACACAAATTCAGACACAAACACACCAACATGCATTAAAATAGACACATATACACTCACACACACTCTCACACCCACACAATAAAAAACACCCTCACACACTGACACATATACACCCAGATGACAAATCACACATGAATTCACACACATTAGCTCACACACTCATTCACGAATCTATAAAACTATCAGTGATCTTTTAAGAAGCTGATTAGAGTAACTAATCAAAAGCTTTATTCTAATCAGTGCAATATCATCCAGTCTTACATTACATCACCACACAGTGCAGTAACATATTTATGACTAAAATACTCACACAGCTCTTCTGGAAGCTTTGATCACTGGCAGCAGATTCAGAACACATTCATCAGATCTGTCATATTTATCCAGATCAAACTCATCCAGCTCCTTTTCTGAGTTCAGCAACACAAACACCAGAGCTGACCACTGGGCAGGAGAGAGACTGACTTTACTGAGGCGACTGTGATATTCACTGTTTAGGTATCTCCGTACTTCCTGCAGTAGAGAATGATCATTCAGTTCATTCAGACAGTGGAACAGATTGATGGATTTCTCTGGAGAGGGATTCTCCCTGATCTTCTGCTTGATGTACTGGGCTGTTTCCTCTGTGCTGTGAGAGCTGCTTCCTGTCTGCGTCAGTAGACCTCGTAAGAGAGTCTGATTGGACTCCAGTGAGAGGCCCAGAAGGAAGCGGAGGAAAAGGTCCAGGTGTCCATTCTCACTCTGTAAGGCCTTGTCCACTGCAGACTTGAGGAAGTCTGACATTTTGGACTCTCTGAAAATACCAGAGAGATCAGTGGTCAACTGTTTTGTTCCATCTCTGCTGTTAAAGGAGAGAAATGCATATAAAGCAGCCAGAAACTCCTGAACACTCAGGTGCACAAAGCTGAACACCTTCCCCAGGTGCAGCCCAAACTCCTCTCTGAAGATCTGGGTACAAACTCCTGAGTACACTGACACTTCTCTGACATCAATGCCACACTCTCTCAGGTCTTCCTCATAGAAGATCAGGTTGCCTTTTTCCAGCTGTTGGAAAGCCAGTTTTCCCAGTGCCAGAATCATCTTTCTAGTCTGCTGAAGATCAGTGTCACATTTCCCATGGTACTTTTGGTCCTTGTGTTTGATCTGAAAGATCAGGAAGTGAGTGAACATTTGAGTCAGAGTCTTGGGGATCTCTCCACACTCTGCTCCACCCAACACTCTCTCTAGAACAGTGGCTGCAATCCAACAGAAGACTGGGATGTGGCACATGATGTAGAGGCTTCTTGAGGACTTCATGTGTGAGATGATTTTATTGGCCAGGCTCTGGTCACTGATTCTCTTCCTGAAGTACTCCTCTTTCTGAGGGTCACTGAACCCTTGTATCTCTGTTACCAGGTCAACACACTCAGGAGGGATCTGATTGGCTGCTGCTGGTCGAGAGGTTATCCAGAGGAGAGCAGAGGGAAACAGATTCCCCTTGATGAGGTTTGTCAGTAGCACGTCCACTGAGGCTGACTCTGTTTCATCCCACAAGCTCTCATTGTTCTGGAAGTTTAGAGGAAGTCGACACTCATCCAGACCATCAAATATAAACATGACTCTATGGGCATCACAGTCTATTGATTCTAGTTGTTTTATTTGTGGGAAAAATTGATGAAGAAGCTCCATCAGACTGACCCTTTTCTTCTTCATCAAGTTCAGCTTCCTAAAAGGAAGTGGAAATATGAAGAGGATGTCCTGATTTGCTTTTCCTTCAGCCCAGTCCAGAATGAACTTCTGCACAGAGACTGTTTGTCCAATTCCAGCAACTCCTTTAGTCAGAACAGTTCTGATGGATTTGTCTTTAAAGAGGTCATTGCATTTGATGGGTTTCTCCTCTGTTGCTGGTCTCCTGGAAGCAGTCTCAATCTGTCTGACCTCATGTTCATTATTGATCTCTCCACTCCCTCCCTCTGTGATGTAGAGATCTGTGTAGATTTCATTCAGAAGGGTTGGCATTCCATGCTGTGAGATTCCCTCATTAATTCTTTTAAATTTCTCAGTGAGTTTGGATTTCAGTTTTTGCTGATACACAGAGTCCAGCTCTAATGAACAGAAGAAGAATGTAATGATATGTTGATTTATAAATACATACTAAACTGTCAAACTTAATTTTATTTGTGAAACACCAGTGCATTCCAAACTTGCATCCTATAATAAAAAAATATATAAATATAAAATGTAAAGTTCTATGAACATCACCATAAGTCACTGATCTGTATAGTTACCCATTTTTATTCTATTTATGTCAGTGATTATCTAATATCAGCTCCCTCCTGTCCATATAAACTGCATTCATTAGTATGTTAAAGGTAAAAACTGCTCCTAGATCAGCTCTCTTAATCTCAGAAGTGTGATAAGTGTGGATCAGTGTTCTTCCTCTAAAGTTACAGTGATGTAATAAAGCCCCGCCCACAGCTCTTACTGCTCTGTAGTGTGTTAGCGAGGTCTGCCTGCTTCATGTTCCTCAGCATGTTCAGTGTGATCTTCAGCACCCCCTCTCTGGAACTGCTCTGATCCTCCTCATCCTCCACCTCTCTCTCAGAGCATGCTGGGTAATCTGCACTCAGCAGCTTCTTGAACCTCTTCAGCTCTTTTTTCACCAGAGAGATCATTTTGAGCTCCAGATCCTGATTAGGAATAAACAGTAAAAAGGAAATCATAAAACACCTTTATCTTACAGACAGATTCAAAAATAAAAAATAGAAAAAAAAATTAAATAGCAATTTTGGTATGTAAAAATTTCCTAGAGACAGATGAATTTATGATTTTATTGTAAGATGAGGAATACTGTCCATTATCACTGATTCAACTACAAATCACATACAAATCAAAAAACTAAAACCTGATAGTTGTGGATGATCTACAGAGACAAACAACATAAGACTGAGACATGAAGAAGAGTGGAACTAAATGTTTCATCATGGTGTATTGTACACACTCACCTTAAAAATGGACTCCAGGTGATTTATGTTCGCCTTTTTATTCTTTGGAGCACTGTTAATTGGGGAATATACAGAAAAAACAATATCGAGAGATCAAAGAAATACGTAACAATAATGAATGAATGGAACTGCACATTACTGTTATATACTCTACATTACACTCAGTTCCAGGTATAAATCTCTACATTACTGTTATATACTCTACATTACACTCAGTTCCAGGTATATATCTCCACATTACTGTTATATTCTCTACATTACACTCAGATCCAGGTATAAATCTCCACATTACTGTTATATTCTCTACATTACACTCAGTTCCAGGTGTAAATCTCCACATTACTGACATATCACCCCTTCTCTTCAGTTTCTACACTAACACTGCGTCTCCAAGGAACCAGCTATGAAGATCCTGGTGATGAGTCTTCCTACAGAAAGAAAGTTGGTGCACTGAAGCAGCAGAAAACACCTGCTGCTGAACACGCAAAAGACTTTTGAGATGGTGGTGGACTCCAGGTGCTCTTCTTAAATACAAAAAACTTTGTATATCAGTTTCATATCAGAGTCATTATTTGATTTGACAGATTATTGACAGAGCTTTCGTTTGTCATCACACACAGGTAGCGCACACATGTAATAAAGCTCCGCCCACAGCTCTTACTCTCATTACATGCAAGCAAATTATCTAGAAAATGTATTAAAAAGACAACACAATGTCATTCTTTTTAAGTCAGTAAATGTCGTGATTTTTTAAACTGTAATGCATTACACTACTTCATTACAATAAATTACATTAATTACATTAGGCACCAATTACAAGAAGGCATTGGGTCATTTGCCTCACCCAAAACTAAATAAGGGAGGACCTTCCCAATCCTAATGCAAAGCTGAAGAAAAGCCTTGAAACTGCATAGAACAGTCTGGAACAGTAGCTATAGTAAAACTACATTTAACATTAGGTCACTACAGCAACCAGAAAAAATGTGCAGTTTTCTGCACAAACGTGTTTAATTGAGGAGTTCTTTCTTTTTCAAATGGTGTTGCTAGATTTGCAGTTTTCCAGAAGAATCCAGCTATTTCAAGCTGCTGTGCAGGTGAACTTTTCCATAATCAAGGCCTTGACATGGTGGAAGGGGCTGTGTGGTCTAGGGATCTTAGAGCTTTGTCGTCTGGAACAGTATGCTCCTGGTCGGGACTCCCAACTTTAATAGGTCTGGAGTGAAGACCCAAACCAACACAATCCCAAATCAAAAAATCCCCTGTGAACAACGGACACAATATATCATGTATGCTGACTGAGAGAGGGTTACCAAGGACCTACCCCTGAAGCTAGGCCTGGGGGCAGTGTTCCTCGGTGAGTGCCTGGTGGCCGGGCAGCCCACATAACCCAGCAGGGCTCAACCCCAAAAGGCAATGTGGAGCCCACCACCTGCAAGGTTCAGCATGGGGTAACAATGCAGTGATTTATAGGCAGTGGGAACTAATGGGGAGGGCCTTGGCAGCATTGACCCCTGCAGCAGAAATGTCTTCTGCACTTGGAACACAACCTCACTGGGCAGGAAGGTGCCAGGACTTGTACGGAACATGGAGAGATACCAAATAGATGTAATTTGGCTCAACTCCATTCACAGTATTGCCTCTGGAACCAACCTCTTGATAGTGGTTAACCCCTCTCCTACTCAGGAGAGAGTGAGAGGTGCCAGGTGGGTGTGGGAATACTCACAAGCCCCTGTCTGGCTGCCATGCAGTTGGAATTTGTCTTGGTGGATGAGAGGGTCACCTCAATGCGAATTTAAATTGGGGAGAAGAAAACTCTTGACTGTTGTGTGTACCTATACACAAAACAACAGTTTGGAATAGTCAGCATTCTTGGAGCGAGTGGGTGGGGTTCTGGAACAGGCCCCAACTACAGACTCCAAAGTCTTGTTGGGAGACGTCAATGCTCATGTTGGCGAAGTTTGGGAAACCCGGAGCGGGGACATTGGGAAGAATGGCCTGCCCGATCTAAACCCGAATGGTGAATTGTTATTGGATTTCTGTGTTAGTCATGGACTGTCAATAAGGATGTTCATAAGTGTACTCTGTACCAAAGCTCCTTGGGTCAAAGGTCAATAATCAACTTTATTGTTTCATCTGATTTGGGAATATATGTTCGGAATGCTCCGGTGAAGAGAGGTGCTGAGGTATCAACTGATCACCATCTGGTGGCAAGTTGGATCAGATGGCAAGGAAGACTGGCAGTCAGACCTGGTAGACCCAAGCAAACAGTGAAGGTGTGCTAGGAACAACTGGCAGAGCATCTGACAGAATTATTTTAATTACCACCTCCATTAAAACATTTCTCATGCACCAGAGGAGGTAGGGGACATGGAGTCCAAATAGACCCTGTTCAAAACCTCCAATGTGGAAGCTGCCAAGTATAGCTGTGGCCAAAATCTTGTTGGTGCTTGACAGGGTGGCAAGCCAAGAACCCGGTGGTGGACACTGGTGGAGAGAGAGGCTGTCAAGCTGAAGAACGAGGACTTTAGAAACTAGCTGGAAGACTGCCTACTTTGCAGATAGGTACCGACAGGCTAAATATGAATAAACATAATATAATAACAAAATTGCACAATAACAAATTATTAAATATTATTAACAAATTATTAAGAAATTCAAAATCCTTGGGACACTGTCTTTAACCATCACATTCCCCTTACCTCACAGCAGGAGAACTGTCTCCCTCTCTGAAGCGTAATGGATGATCCATTGATTCGTGACTCTTCATGGACACACAGCTGGGCTCAGGTGAGTCCAATCTCTCTCTTTGAATCACGCTAAAAACACCAGTGAAGAAAAGATACCATTACAGTCAGTGTTTTAAGTGAGTTAAAAAGCAGAAAGAAATTAAAGTATGTGTTTTGTTTGGATAACAAAGTATGCAGAGAACTACAGTGGACCACAGTTTGTAATTGTAGAACCACAAAGAGCTCCCATATGGTCCCTAAATAAGGTTTAGCTTATATCACTTCAGTGGCTACAGATCAGGATTGCTTTGACCAATTCTCATGAAACTTAACAGGCCTATACCCCGCATTGTTCTGTGGAAGCCCACCAAGATGGATACCAATTGCAATACCAAAGTTCAATAGGGGGCACTACAACAACACAAAATGTCAGCTACCGTTTGGCCAATTGAGACAACTCAATCATTGGACATATATGGTCACCATTGGCCAAAAAATTAAACAATCATTCGGTGAGCTTAGCATTGTGCAGTCATCACAGAAATTGAATGATATGTCCACATAGGCATTCTCTAATAGCCTATAAAGTTTGACCTCAATTGAACATGAGGTGGTGCTAAAAAAAAAAAACAACAATAAATCTTATTGATTTTTTTGGTCAAAAATAAATTACTCCACTTCATGCATAGCACAGAAACTGACATTTTGTCAAGTCTTTTAAAATTCTTTTAAGTTTTTCTGCAATTTTCCCAGTTTGAAAAATGAGGTTTTTAAACTGGTCTGTGGGTTTTAATCAAATTTTCTACAATTTGGTTTTGAAACCATCTGTGTAGTCTGCCAGTAAGTGATTATCAAAAATAATCTTGACATTTTTGCAAAGAACAGCCATGAGACATCAATTACTCTGTTTGGCTTTGCTTTTTATGACATAATTGGCCACAAATCTATCAGTCTTTCTCATATTATAGCCAAGTTTGGAAAAACTGTCCAAAACCATCACCTGAGGAAGAATGCAAAGTGTTGATTATATTGGTCTCCATGGGCCCCTACAATACTCAATGTAATGCATACTTACTCAAATGTTAGTATTTCTTTCTATGATTGAAATAAAGAAAAATAATGGTTTCAAACTACACATCTCATTAACATCTAAACCTTTGCAATTATAGGTGTGCTCCAAAATTGCACAGAAAATATGGAAATTTTAAAATTTAAAAACTTAAACCCATCTTGGCCACAGAATCCAAAATGGCAATAAATTCTCTGGTCACCAGAGGTAGCTTCTACATTAAATGCAAATTATGACTTTAAATATACATACAGTTGTAGGCTTTACAATATTTCTCATGTGGCACAGAATGCTTCTGAATTTTATGTACTCCACCGAGCTTGACAATTTCACAAATACAAGTCTTTTAAAAAACCCAAATTAGTTCTGCAATTGTTAAAAGTTTAAAGGTGATGTTTTCACATTGCTTGAGTTTTTATCGAATCACCTCAAAATTGGTCTTAGAACAATCTGTGGAGTCTGAGGATAAATGATAACTAAAAACATCATAATTTTAACCAGAATGTGGCAGCAACATTTGAACAAATTGATGTGACCTGGCTAAAGTGCTACAAATACATAAGCAATTGTCTGATTATAACTAAATTTGAAACATGTGCACAGAATGACAAATAGAGGGTGTACTGTAAATGAATTTTCTATTATGTTATACAATAACCACAATAATTGAAAGTTGAAAACTAGTTCCTAAAATGGTGCCTGGTTCCTCATTACTCACTACCAGTAAATTGTGTCAAAAAAATGTGATGTTGCCATGGGCCTCATGGCTCACCATGAAACCATATCCCTACCAAACAGAAGGTGCTTGGTTCAAATCCCACCTGAACTGTCCTTACCAAACCAATGAACAACTTGATGCAACGTGGAGTTTGTATCTTGAAAGTTTTGTAAGATATTAAATATTAATGATTATCAAAAACTTATGACATTAATGAAGATTTATAGTGCTAATGGAGACTGATAGTGCTTTTGTTTTTGTTAGTTTTAATTTTTTTAGACATTGCTTTAATATGGTGTTGGCCATCCTTTGCAGCTATAACAGCCTCCACTCTTTTGGGAAGCTTTCCTCATGATTTTGGATTGTGTCTGTGTGAATTTGTGCCCATTCAGTCAAAAGAGTATTTGTGAGGTCAGACACTGATGTTGGATGAGAGGGTCTGGCTCACAATCGCCATTCTAGTTCATCCCAAAGGTGCATAACAAACACAACATAATAACAAAAGTGTATAATGAAGGACTGATTATTAATAATAAATTCAAAATTATTCTCCGCCCCTCCCAATAATTAAACAATGATTGGCACCCATGTTTGAGTGAGTTTGATCAGGTTGGACTGGGAGTGAGGAAAAGTATCCTAAACCATCACTCTGTCCTCACCTCACAGCAGGAGAACTCTTTCCCTCTCTGAAGCGTAAAGGATGATCCATTGACTCCTCACTCTTCATGGACACACAGCTGGGTTTAGGTGAGGCTGATCTCTCTCTGTGAATTACACTAAAACACATCAATGGAGAAAAGAAACCGTTAGAGTCAGTGTTTCTAGTGTGATTAAAAACAGAAAGTTGCAATGAAACAAAGTAATTAAAGTACATGACTTGTTTGGATATCAGAGTGAGAAACTGCAGATACAAAGTGCAGAAGGAGTCAGCAAGTTCATTCAGTCTATACTGAAGGGATCGGGCGTTGTGAGAGCTGTCACACTTTTTAGGGCTCGTGGTGGAGGTAAGGGTCCCTGTGGTTGTAGTGGGCTTGTCTAGGCAAAACTCCAGCAGCACTGCTGTGTCTGACCCACTTGTACCAGCACAACACACACTAACACACCACCACCACGTCAGTGTTACTGCAGTGCTGAGAATCATCCACTACCCAAATAGTATCTGCTCTGTGGGGCTCCATGGGGGTCCTTGTTACGTGTCCGGCCTGGATAAGGGGTGTCTGGCCGGTATGCTTCTCTCTCTCTCTCTCTCTCTCGCGCTTGCCCGTTCATTCTCTTTCTTTTCCCTCTCTATTCCGTATGTCTCCTCCCTCGGTTGCTCCCTATCTCTGCTACAGGTTGGCTGCGGTGTTGGTTGTCGTTAGGGGCTTGACGTATACCACTTGACGGCAAATCATCATGCAGAGTTCCGGCCCTGGAGGAGGGACTTGAACTTTAAAAGCAGCCTGGCAAAGCTCGTGAGGAGTGTCAGTGTGTTTGTTCAGTTCATTTTAGCTTGTGTCGTGCCGCGCACTGTTAATCACGCTAGTCTTGCTGTTTATGGCTGTCTATGCTCTCTCTCTCCCTTTTGCTCTCTCTCATATGCTGCTGTGCTTTCTTGGGGTTCTAGACAGGTTAGATGGGCGTGCTCATACATTTTACATCACATAGCTGCCCATTGTATAGACACCTTAGGCAAGGTGCGGACGCCAACCCATGTATTTATGTTATGCCATAGGGAAGACTAGTGTAGATAGTTTTTTTTTTTCTACTAGGTGAGGATTTCAATTAAAGAGTTCAGGTAGTTTTTTTTTTGTTCGTTTGTTTTGTTAATTTCTTTCCTTTAGCGCCGTCCAGGTCCAGAATCCCGCTCTTTTTGACAGCAAGCATATTTGCCCTTTTTTTATAAATATTGTACATAGTATTGGAGGTCTCACTCAAATCATAGCCTGAGTGTATTTTATCTTTTACCCCTAGCGTATAATAAATAAGAAAAGAAGCTATCCTATTCATGTCTTGCTCCTTCCTGGTTCGTGCTGCAAACATCACATCTAAATCATATGTTACTGACCCCATTATCCCCTGGACTTTCTTGTGGGGGTCGTAACCCTGACCACTGAAGAACAGGGTGAGTGTAGAAACAAGGAGGTGGTCATAACATTATGCTTGATCACTGTATATATCTCTAAACCTAGGGAGCTCTCTACATAGGCAGCATAATACAGCATAATAATTGTCATAATACGTACACCTCCAACAAGAAAGGTGTCTCAATTTTTTGATACTCAAAATATTCTGCCTACTTTACTGCCTAATCTTAATTTGACAGAATATCAAGAGAGCATTGAATCTTTCCTGAGTTGCTGAGGCAATCAGTGCAACGTGATGTGACTTTTGTTTAAAGATTATGTTTTGTTTGAAGATGCTTAGAGGAAAGTTTACCTTTGTAAATTTGAACTGTTCAAGAGCTGCAAGTAGTGCTTAAATTCTTAAATTTCAGCATCCTTCTGTCTATTCCGCTGTTTTATGTAGAGGAAATACAAATAAAATCGCTATTAAAACCACCAGAGCAGGGTCCATGGTGGTAAAATGCTGAGGCAATTCTGATGGCTGAGGTCAGTAAATGTCGTTCTCATGCAGTGGGCAGGAACAAGCGGTGAGGTTACTGCTGCCTAACTGCAGTATCTTATGAGGTTTGATCACGGTTAGAATGCTGCCTAAGTAGACAGCGGCTAGTAAGAGAGCTCATTAGGTATTGGGACACAGTCATTGTGTAGAACACTCCCTTTCTGTGATATAGATGATCCATTGACTCATAACTCTTTATGAACACCAGCTGAGTTCAGTTCTGATCTTTCCACCAAAGATGTTTTTAATATTATTTATCAATGTATTTCCATTTTTTTTCTACATCATTTGAACTCAAAGATCCCCTTTATAAATTTTTATGACAAATGGACCAAAGAAATGCTCCAAAATCAGTTGAGGAAAAATCTTTTTACAACGATGACTTTAAAACAAAAGAAGATTCAGCACTCTCATGTAAATCAACCATTTTTGGACATTCTTGTGGTTTTTGTTTGCTTTTTTGTTTATTTATTTGATGAACAAATGTGTTAATATGAGTTTGGCCATCCACTCTTCTGGGAAGCAAGCAAGCAAAGTTTATTTATGTAGCGCTTTTTACAACAGGTGTTGTCACAAAGCAGCTTTACAAGGAAATCAGCATTACAGAAAGAAATCCGGGTCCGAGCCCCCATGAGCGTCGCCAGTGGCGACAGTGGCAAGGAAAAACTCCCTAAGAGAAACAGGAAGAAACCTTGAGAGGAACCAGGACTCAGAAGGGGAACCCATCCTCCTCTGGATGACACCGGATAGTAAACATTGTTAGTATAAAGTATTATAGTACAGAAACGGGGAAAACAGGTGGAGCAAATGATTAATTTGAATAGTTTAGTTCATGCAGCAGCAGCATCAGTGGGGTCAGGTTGTGGGGGTGAGGTTTGCACGGCGAGCAGTGGCACCCGATCAAGGCAGCAGAGGCAGCAGCATCAGACGCACAGGATGGGCAGCTGTTCAACTCGGCAAAGGAAAGAAAGGAAAACAGAGAGTCAGTTCTGTAATGGGTGTCAGTTCTGTAATGGGTGACTGACAGAACTGAGAGTCAGTTCTACAATGGGTGTCAGTTCTGTAATGGGTGTCAGTTCTGTAATGGGTGACTGACAGAACTGAGAGTCAGTTCTGTAATGGGTGTCAGTTCTGTAATGGGTGTCAGTTCTGTAATGGGTGACTGACAGAACTGAGAGTCAGTTCTGTAATGGGTGTCAGTTCTGTAATGGGTGTCAGTTCTGTAATGGGTGACTGACAGAACTGAGAGTCATGTGTGTCGATGGGACTCGAATGGGTGTCAGTTCTGTAATGGGTGTCAGTTCTGTAATGGGTGACTGACAGAACTGAGAGTCAGTTCTGTAATGGGTGTCAGTTCTGTAATGGGCGACTGACCACAGATTACAGTGTTAGCAGAGCAGCAGAGACTCTGTCAGGTATAGAACTGACAGGGAAAACTAATTACCAAAGGCTCGACTATACAAGTAAGTTTTTAGCTTAGACTTAAACACTGAGGCTGAGTCTGAGTCCCGAACATTAACAGGAAGACTATTTCAAAGCTGGGGGGCTTTGTATGAGAAAGCTCTCCCCCCTGATGTAGCTTTATTAATTCTAGGTACTAATAGTGAGCAGCACCTTGTGATCTAAGTAGGCGTGATGGTTCATAGTGAGAGAGAAGTTCACTCAGGTACTGAGGGGCGAGTCTGTTTAGGGCTTTATAGGTCAGTAATAGGATTTTATAATCAATGGGAAATTTAACTGGTAACCAGTGTAACGTTGATAAAACTGGGCTGATATGGTCAAACTTTCTGGTTCTAGTAAGAACTCTGGCTGCAGCGTTCTGGACCAACTGAAGCTTGTTAATGCTTTTGCTGGGACGTCCAGCCAGCAGGGCATTACAGTAATCTAGCCTTGAAGTAATAAATGCATGAACTAACTTTTCTGCATCCTGTAGAGAGAATGCATTTCTCAATTTAGCAATATTGCGGAGATGCAGGAAGGCTGTTCTAGTAATATTAGTTATGTGTGCGTCGAAGGACAGATCAGGGTCTATAATGACACCAAGGCTTTTTACAGATGAGCTTGATGCAACTGAGAAATTGTTAAGTTTAAGTGTTAAATCAGAGTTTGTTTCTGGCTGCTTTAGGTCCAAGAAGTAGAACCTCTGTTTTATCTGAGTTTAGAAGAAGAAAGTTACTCGACATCCAGTCTTTTATGTCTTTTATACAGTCTTCAATCTTGCTAAGTTTAATTTTATCATCTGGGTCGCTTGCTAAATATAACTAAGTGTCATCGGCATAGTAGTGGAAATTTATGCCATGTTTACTGATAATGGTGCCCAGTGGTAGCATATATAATGTGAATAATACAGGTCCTAAAACAGAGCCTTGTGGAACACCATACTTTACTTTTGCGAGGGCAGAAGATTCACCGTTTATATGTGGAAGCTTTCCACAAAACTTCCAGTTCCAGTTCCAGTTCCAGAATGTTCCAGTGACTTCACTTGCTGCTAAGAGCTTCCGTTTCACAGTAATAGCACTTACAGTTGTCTAGGGCAGATCTAGCAGGACAGAAATTTCACAAACTGACTTGTGGCAGATGTGGCATCCTGTGTCAGAGCCATGTTTAAAGTCATTGAGCTCATCAGTATGACCCACATACTGCCAGTGTTTGTCTATGGAGACTGCGAGGCTAATTAATTTTATCCACCTGTTAGCAATGGGTGTGGCTGAAACAACTGAACTCAGTAATTAGGAGAGGTGTCTTTTGGCCATATAGTCTGTATAGTCTATATTATATAGACTATATGTCCAAAATAAAGTTTTAGATCGAACGTGAAATTATGACAAGCATAATAAGGCCTTTATTAAAAAATAACAATGACATGGAGTAAAATGTAGTGGGAAGAACATAAGTATTACTGTATAATTCACCCACCAGTCTAGCCAACTGCTGATGAGTGCTTAATGATGAAAAAGGAATGCACTGTGGTGTGTAAGTGGCTCAGGTCTTCTTTTTTACTTACCCAAGAATGACATCTTAATGTATTTTTTTCTCACAAACACCACAAAGACATGTTTTTACTGTGTCCTGTACTGCTGTGCCACATTCAGTTATACTAGTTTTAAGGATCAATTGATTTGTGAAAATATACACTTTTTAAACTTTTACCTAAGCTTGTTAAAACACTCTCCCTCTATAAATTATACTGGCTTGTCCTTCGACTGGTCACACTGCATGCCTACATGTTGACATCTGTATATCAATAAAATTTTGGAAATGGGCCATTTAACTGGCAGCACTACATATGTTCTCTCACCTCTGGTCTTTCTCTGTGTGTTCTTCTCCAGAGGAGCTCATTTTGGAGCTCATGTCTCCTACAGGTCACAGCTGGAACCCTGTAATCAGACACATACAGAGAAACAGAGCAGGACACACAGTTACTTGGCTCCAAATCACTCTCGTATATTTAGACCTGCGTCATCAACCTGTTTACTTACAGAGGTATATTAAAGTCATCAGGTCAGAGAGTCAGTTCTGTTAGTTAAGACTTCAGTAAAAATCTACTGAACTGATCTTTATCTACTGCAGATTCATATAATAATAAACTACAGATCAGATCTACAGACTCACCGTCTTTCTCTCCCAAACTGCTTTATTTTCCTTTCTGCACAAAATGGAGCCGTAAAGTTTCACTTTCACTGAAACTGGTTTGAACCAGTTTCCTGAGCAGGAGGAGGGGCGGGACATACTTCACTCAAACGGTCCTTGAAAACACGTTTAAAGTTCAGAGCGCTCTCCTGCCCCCTGCTGGTCACTCTGTGTACTGTTAGAGTTTGTAAGTCATGTAATTCAGAGATCTGGTTAAAACATACTGCTAGTCAGTGGTGGAAAGTAAATATAACTCGTTTCTATACTTAAGTAGTTTTTGTGTATCTGTACTTTACTGAAGTTTTTCCATTTTGGGTGACTTTTTATTTATTATTTATTTATTTATTTATTTTTTACTTTCACTCCACTACATTTCAATGTCAAATATCTCACTGTTTACTTCACTACATTATGAGAAATCTGTCCTTCCTTTTGGTTTATGTGTGTATAAAAACATAACATGTCAAAATGAAAGAAGCAAAAAGCAAGAACACCAATCAGGGCACAGCGGTCACTTAGTTTTGAGCTTGTAAAATTTTGGGAGAGTCTATTCAACATAAATGATGAACTAACCTAACTTTGTGTAAACAGACCACAATATAGAAATATGTACTCATATGCAGTTGTGACTGACGTGTCTTTATTCTGAATTTATACAAACACATTTCATTTTATAGTAAATTAGTTTTGGCTAGTTTATGTTTATGAACAGAGACCTACAGATGCAGTTTAGTAAAGGAAACTCATTTGTGAATCTGAGTTTAAAGTTTTAAACTTGTAACTAAGTTGCATTAAGTTAATTAATCTTTCAGTACTTTTACTTTTGATAAGTACATTTGAAGGTGAATACTTCTGTACTTTTACTCGAGTGGAGGTCTAAAGGGAGGAACTTCTACTTTTAGTGGAGTAATATTCTACCTTGGGTATCTCTACTTTAACTCAAGTACATGGTTTGTGTACTTCGTCCAGCACTGCTGCTATTACATAAATACTTAGATAATAATAATTATTTAAATACTTAAATAATTAGTTAATTAGCAACTTCAGCTTCGGAGGACTGGTGTGATGAGCCAGGAACCACTGAAAGAGTCTACAACAACCAGCAAACATTACAGCAATAAAACAAGAACAACAACAACAACAAAAGAAAAACAATTACATGCAGCCAAACTGACATTATACATACATGCAGATATAAATAGAATCTCTCATAAACACTTTCAGTGTGTATCCAATAGAAATGTACTGTAAATAGATTTTTAATTAGTCATACATCCAAAATAGCAGGCTAACTAGCTAATGCTACCTGCTAACCCTGCTAACCCTATAAAATGCAAATATTACATTGTTTTATTATATCAGATTTGTTTACTGTAATAGGGGCGGCACAGTGGCGCAGTGGGTAGCCCTGTCGCCTCACAGCAAGAAAGGCCTGGGTTTGATTCCTGGCCGGACAACCAGGGTCGTTTCTGTGTGGAGTTTGCCTGTTCTCCCCGTGTCTGCGTGGGTTTCCTCCGGGTACTCCGGTTTCCTCCCACAGTCCAAAAACATGCAGTTAAGCTAATTGGACATGCTGAATTGCCCCTAGGTGTGAGTGTGTGTGTGTCTGTCTGTCTGCCCTGCGATGGACTGGCGACCTGTCCAGGGTGTATCCTGCCTTCCGCCCAATGACAGCTGGGATAGGCTCCAGCGACCCAGAAGGATAAGCGGTTTAGATGATGGATGGATGGATGGATATTTACTGTAATACTGTGCGAAAGAGTTCTATAGTGCAGTAAAACACTTCTGTTATAATGTATAATATCCTCTTTATAATATTCCTGTAGTGCTGTTTTATAGTGATCTATAATACGTGTGTGGTGTCCTGGAAGAAAGTGTACAGTAATTATTTGCACTTACTGTAAACTTCTTATAGGAATCCTGTAGAAATTCCTACAGATTTACTACAGATTTTCATCATATTATTATTATTATTATTATTATTATTATTATTATTAGGAAGAACATTTATCACTGTTAAACATTATATTTTAATTATTTAGACAAATAAGAGAGTTTAGTGGTTATCTCTGACGTAGCTGCTTGCAAACTAAAAAACAATCCTAGTGAACTACTTTAGCGAACTGTAGTGCGAGCGCTCTGAAACCACCACATTATAAACTAATCTAAAATCATCTGCCTCAGAACAGCCACCATTTATTCACCTTTAGCATTTATAGTACTTCATTTTTACAACCCATTTGCTGAAAAGTTTGTTGACTGGTTGTTATAAAAAGTACTCCAACCCTACTTTAAACTCAAAAGAATGATCTTTATTTTTGTTATTTTTGTATGTAATTTTTCTGTTGCTTTAGAATAGTGAAGGCTTCCTTTTAAAACATTTTCTATAATTAACTGACTGTTGATACTTGAACATTTATTACTGTAATGAGTTTATGTTCCAGTGCGAGTTTGACTAGTGCTGCCTGTGGCTTTGTTAATGTATATAAAAAAAATAATGAGCAGAAACTAAAAAATATATTGTTTAAAAAGGAAAGTAAATACATTGTTAGCAGAAAAAATAATAAATATTTTTTACAAAACTGAAAAATAAAAATGCATTATGAAAACTGTGAAGACAAATCTTTCACTAACTGGCACGCCAGTATGAGGTGATGGGTCACAAACAGCATTTAATTTTTTTCCAGAATGTTAAATTCACTAAACAAACAGTAACTGTAAATTAATACATACTGGCTAAAGGACATGTTAGTGCTGGTTACAAATTAAAAAGTTGTTTAAAATAAAAAGTGTTTAAAATAAAACATATGCAATGCTTTTGGCTTGAAGTGACTGTGTTTAATGTAAAACCATTTAATCATAGCCATTGCTTTTCCTCTGTATTGTTAGTATTTTGTACTAATGGTAAGTGGTATTCATTTTGCTCTTATTGTGTTATTGTTTGCTATCTGGTGTCGACCAGAGGAGGATGGGTTTCCCTTTTGAGTCTTGGTTCCTCTCAGTGTTTCTTCCCCCAGTTTTTTCTTGCCACTGTCTCCATTGGTGACCCTCATGGGGGCTCAGACCCGTATTTTTCAGTAGAGCTGCTTTGTGACAACACCTGTTGTAAAAAGCGCTACATAAATAAACTATGACTCGACTCGAATCGACAAAAAATGTTAATCCATGCTGTTATTTTAGCATGAACATACTTTTATGTGTACTTTTATATTTTACTTTTAATTTTATGAACATAATTGTGGAGATGTTTTAGACCCAGTTTTGATATTCATGCCCTGAGCTGAAGGCCCACCTCTAATGCTCATGGTTTGCTGCTGTGGTCCTCATATTACCCCAGCCTTTAGTAGCAGTAAGGTCTCAGTATTACTCAATAACAAAATAGAAAACATTACAACAAAATTAGGCAGGAGGCTACCAGCAATCCGCTACATGTCAGTGCAGCTTCTGATGATAGGAAGTCTAGAGGCCTACTGGACTTAATCAGCTGATGTACAGATGTGACAACGCAGATGGTTTCTTGTCTGGTCTAGATTATTTGACAGTTTGCTTTAAAATGTTTTTGTAAATGGGGAGTTTGTAGAGTGAAATATGGTGTCCCACAAGGTTTGGTTTTTTTGGGCCCCTACTGCTTTCCCCTTATTTACAGTCCCTGTGACACATAATTTGTTAACAAAATGTTTCCTATCCATTTAATGCTAATGATGACCCATATAGATCAGCTAAGCCAGACTTGAAACAGTTATACGTGAATAAATAAATATTGCTGTGGGGCTCTATGTAGTGTTGCAGACCTTACTTAATACAAGTTACATTCAAAATATTTTTCACTGGTGAAAAGAACATGTTTGTACAAGGTAAATGGCAACAACTTCACAGGTTTTTACACAACTAGCTGGCTACTGAAAATTAATGATTGTGCCAGCTCTAGTGTGTAATGTATGTTATAAGAGAATGCAAAATGCACTCTGAAATTGTTAAACATCAATGATGGTACAAGTTAAGGTGACCAGATACATTTTCTAAAGAGGAGCACTCAGCTGTGAGATACTTGATTGCATTTGTATAACAACCTCACTGACACTTAAAGCGAGATCAACAGTGATGTGTGATACTATAGCAAGGGAAAAATGATCTACAAAACCATCAGCAGTTTGTTGATAAAACTATTCAAATCTGTGATGTATCATCCAGTGTTACATTAAATTAAGAAATAGTTTATTAACACATTATACAACCACATTTCCAGAAAATTTGGGATGTTGTGCAAAAAGTAAATAAAAACAAAACACAATGATGTGCAAATCATTATGCAATACTCTATATTTAATTGAAAATAGTACAAAGACAACATATCAAATGGTGAAACTGAGAAATTTAGTTGTTTTTTGAAAAATATATGCCCATTTATATAATATATGCCATGATCAAATAGTGCAGCAATTCAAGAATAACATTTCTCAATGTAAAATAGTAAAGAACTGTTGCTTTTCATTATCTGCGGTTCATAATATCATTAACAGATTCAGAGAACCTGGAGAAATCTCTGTATGTAACAGACAAGGCCAAAAACCAGTATTTACTGGTCGTGATCTTTGGGTCCTCAGGTGGTACTGCATTAAAAACAGACATGATTCTGTAGAGGAAATCACTGCATGGGCTCAGAAACACTTCTGAAAAACACTGTCTGTGAAAACAGTTCATCACTGCATCCACAAATGCAAGTTAAAACTCTAAAACACAAAGAAGAAACTGTACATAAACAGCATCCAGAAACACTGCCACCTTCTCTGGGTCGGAGTTCATTTAAAATGGACTGAGGGGAAGTGGAAAAGTGTCCTGTGGTCCAATGAATCAAAATTTTAAATTATTTTTGGAAATCATGGACACTGTGTCCTCCGGTCTAAAGACCACTCAGCTTGTGTATATATACATGTTTTGGCAACATATGCTGCCATCCAGACAACGTCTTTTTCAGGGAAGGCCTTGATTATTTCAGCAAGACAATGTAAAACCACATTCTGCATGTATTGCAACAGCATTGCTCTGTATTTAGAGATGGGTGCTAAACTGACCTGCCTGCAGTCCAGACCTGTCAC